TGATTCTTGGGTGAGGAGGGGGCGTGGTCCATGAGAAATAGTCCCGCCACTACAGCTGGAAAAAAATCCTAGAGGAAACACCGCAAGCATTTAATAAAATTAGAAAAATGCATTTACAAAGGTAAAAAGAAAATGCCCCTGAAATCACTTGGAGTCAAATGTCAGCTCGTATTAGGAAGGCTAATTCTTGATCAGAATTTTGTATTATTGATTAGAAGGTGCTCCTACACGTCTCTTTAACTGCGGGTGTGACGGGTATGGCTGTGGAATGGGGTTTGGCCGAGGAAATTTTTTTTCGCACATCAGGGAGCCGCTATCAATATGCGGGGTATTGAAATCGCATTTGAATTAGCGCTCGCTGTTCACTTTCAATTTTGCGATCACGCGCACTCTGTGTAAAGGGAGCACATCTGATCAACATGCCTAATAATTATGCACGCACTGTATTTTGATCATATTTTTTCCAAGCACATTTGACCAATTCCAAACCACATCAATCTAAATAACTACTATTATTTTTGTATTTTATCATTTAGAAGTGATATATAATTGTCCATGAAGGCTGGAAATGAAAAACTCCTTATTAAGGCGTGCAGAATTATTAGGCAGGTTTTCTTTTACGGTTGAAATGAGCCAAAAAAGAGATTTAACTCCGACTGAGAAGTCAAAAATGATTAAATCCCCTTGAGAAATATTAAAAACTAACGCAATTGCAAAGTCAAGGCATGACCAATGGTCAGCAAACTGCTCATTGGGTCAGCGGGGTCAGAAAAAAAAACAGGTGGAGAAGAAAAGACGCAAAAGATTTAAGAATTAAGTGTGAAACCATCAGGAACCTTTTAGTCTCCAGTGCCACTATTCTCCAGAACTGCAACCTTGAGTCTCCAGAATTACAAGGTGACCTTGCTTGGGTAAAAAATCCTAGAAAATTACCCCTACTTAATAAGAATTACATTCTGAAGTGTTGTGAAATACATGAAGACTATTTCTATAGGCTTTATGGACAGATAAGTTGAGAGTGACTCTTGAAGGACCAGCACCACATCCTCTTGTACCACTGTTTGAAGAATTGATCTTCCAGAATCTGGCAGTAAGCTTTAGGAGCTCATTTTTGTCAGTCCCTGCAAGACACACTTCGTGCTTTAAAAAGTCCTTGAATCTGGTGTTCATGAAAAAGTGGGAACCCTGTAAAATTGCTAAACGCCAGTGCAGCGAGCCAGAGAAACCCGAATCTTACCTATTATATATGTTTACAAGATCTATAATATCACTAAAAATCCAGCTAAGATTTATATTACTAATAGTACTATTCTATTAATGTTAATCGAGCCAGTGGCATTTGAAGCTTGTGTATGTTTGGGTCAGGACACATATGTATAATTTTACACCATGTATAAAAACAAGTAAACATTACATTGCATCCTTACCCATCAATAAATGTTATTTATCAAAAATGTTTAAATTACATGTATTTTTTCATGTAATAGGCTATTTTAACTGAAACACATCTGTCTTGTGAGACATAGGCTGCAATCTTCAGAAATATGTGACCCTGGAGCACAAAAGCAGTGTTGAGTCGCTGGGGGATATTTGTAGCAATAGCCAACAATACATTGTATGGGTCACAATTACTGATTTTTCTTTTATGCCAAAAATCATTAGGACATTATTGACCCTTATGACTGGTTTTGTGCTCCAGGGTCACATATTCATTTCTCAATTCTAAACATATTTTCACGTATACATTAGGCTAATTTGTTCTTTAACATTTTTACATAGTTCTCTTTGCACTAAACATATTATATATATATATATATACACACACTGCTGTTCAAAAGTTTGGGATCAGTATGATTTTTTATGTATTTTAAAGAAGTCTCTTCTGTTCATCAAGGCTGAATTTATTTGATCAAAAATCATAGTTTTCTATTTTAATATACCTTAAAATCTAATTTATTTCTGTAATGCAAAGTCTTTAGTGTCACATCATTCTATTATGCTGAATTATTATCAATGTTGGAAGCTTAATATTTGTTTGGAACCTGTGATACTTGTTTTTCAGGATTCTTTGATGAATAAAGTTAAAAAGAAGAGCGTTTATTTAAAATAGAAATCTTTTCTAACAATAGAAGTCTTTACTGTCACTTTTTATCAATTTAACACATCCTTGCTGAATAAAAGCATTCATTTTTGATTCATTTAAAAAAAAAAAAAAAATTACTGACCCCAAACCTTTGAACGGTAGTGTATATTGTAATAAAAAATAATAATATTTGGAATAAATTCTGTTCTTTTGAACTTTTTCTTCATCAAAGAATCCTGAAAAAAAGGATCACAGCATCCAAATATTAGAATATTAGTCATTTATCCAAAGCGACTTACAAATGAGGACAATGGAGGCAATCAAAATCAACAAAAGAGCAATGATATACAGGTGCTATAATTAGTCTCAGTTAGCTTAACGCAGCACACGTAGCAAGTTTAAAATATATATATATATATAATAAATAAAAAGAAAACAGATAGAATAGAAAAAGACTAGAGCAAGCTAGTGTTAGAGGTCTTTTTTGCTTTTGTTAATTGTATAATAAATGAAAAGAAAACAGATAGAATACAAAAAGATTAGAAAGCTAGTGTTTTTTTTAAGAAAACAAGCAGCAAATGAATAGAGTGCAAGCCTAAAAGGGAAAAGTGTGTTTTTTTAAGAATAGAATTAGAATAGAGTATTAAATAAATCAAATAAGTCAAATAAATAGTATTAAATACATAAAAAATAAATAAAAACGAGTGGGTCAAATAAATAAATATTATACTGATTTCTGAAAAATCATGTGACACTGAAGACTGGAGTAATGATGCTGATGAAAATTCAGCTTTGATCACAGAAATAAATTATATTTTAAAGAATATAAAAGCAGAAAACCATTATTTTAAATTGCAATTTCACAATATTAGTTTTATTTCTGTATTTTTGATCAAATGCAGCCTTGATGAACAGAAGAGACTTCTTTAAAAAAACATTACAAATCTTACTGATCCCACTTTTGAACGGCAGTGATTAGGCTATATATATATATATAAAATCATACTACTACATAATATTTTATTATTCACTAATTGATTATTTTAGCTAAAACTAAAGTTTTATCCGTAACTCTTTTATTTGGGAGAAAGGTCTCCACATTATACATTCATTAAAAACACACCTGCATTTTATCACAACAGAGGAAAACATTTTATTAAAACATAATTTAACAAAATTCTATGAACTCTATTGATGGATGGAATTGTAACCATATCACTAGGTTGCATGGATTTTCCTTGTTTTTATTTTATTTTTACGAAACAAAAGGTTTGCATATAATAACTGCGAATAACTTTTTATTTGATTGATTTATTTTTGGAGCCTATGGTCCAGATTGCTTGCATCTTGAATGTTGCAGCATCCTCATACTTGTGCATGTGTAAGTGTAAGTCAAGCCCATCGCTAGTGTCTTTACAGTGGGGTGTTAAATGCTGAATAGACGGTTTCTCACATTCAAAGTCAAGGTGACTGATTACCTCCGGACACATTTTACTGCTCTCATAAACTCTTATGGCCCTGCTGCCGTCCTTTGTCAAAACTCCGGAGGTCATCAAACGCAGAAACAAGAGCGCGATGCAAAATCCCAGCGTTTCAGCGCTGAAACACAAAACGCAATGCAATGGAATCATAACAAATTCAGAGAAGGTTTATTTGGTCTGTATTCACCAGGCAGAGTAATCAATAAACAGAGTGATTTGATTACAAAAATATACTTTCAATTGTGTGTCTGTTTTATAATAAAAGCGCAAAGTCTGCACCTTCCTCCGCTGTGTTAAGCTGCATAATAATGCATGCAAAGCAAATTCATATATGTCTGTTGCCTTTGCCTTAAAATAAGTGAAAAAGAAAACAAGCAGCAAATGAATAGAGTGCAAGCCTAAAAGGGAAAAGTGTGTTTTTTTAAGAATAGAATTAGAATAGAGAGTGCTAGAGTTGGAGGGTTAAATAAATAGTATTTAAATACATAAAAAATAAATAAAAACGAGTGGGTCAAATAAATAAATATTATACTGATTTCTGAAAAATCATGTGACACTGAAGACTGGAGTAATGATGCTGATGAAAATTCAGCTTTGATCACAGAAATAAATTATATTTTAAAGAATATAAAAGCAGAAAACCATTATTTTAAATTGCAATTTCACAATATTAGTTTTATTTCTGTATTTTTGATCAAATGCAGCCTTGATGAACAGAAGAGACTTCTTTAAAAAAACATTACAAATCTTACTGATCCCACTTTTGAACGGCAGTGATTAGGCTATATATATATATATAAAATCATACTACTACATAATATTTTATTATTCACTAATTGATTATTTTAGCTAAAACTAAAGTTTTATCCGTAACTCTTTTATTTGGGAGAAAGGTCTCCACATTATACATTCATTAAAAACACACCTGCATTTTATCACAACAGAGGAAAACATTTTATTAAAACATAATTTAACAAAATTCTATGAACTCTATTGATGGATGGAATTGTAACCATATCACTAGGTTGCATGGATTTTCCTTGTTTTTATTTTATTTTTACGAAACAAAAGGTTTGCATATAATAACTGCGAATAACTTTTTATTTGATTGATTTATTTTTGGAGCCTATGGTCCAGATTGCTTGCATCTTGAATGTTGCAGCATCCTCATACTTGTGCATGTGTAAGTGTAAGTCAAGCCCATCGCTAGTGTCTTTACAGTGGGGTGTTAAATGCTGAATAGACGGTTTCTCACATTCAAAGTCAAGGTGACTGATTACCTCCGGACACATTTTACTGCTCTCATAAACTCTTATGGCCCTGCTGCCGTCCTTTGTCAAAACTCCGGAGGTCATCAAACGCAGAAACAAGAGCGCGATGCAAAATCCCAGCGTTTCAGCGCTGAAACACAAAACGCAATGCAATGGAATCATAACAAATTCAGAGAAGGTTTATTTGGTCTGTATTCACCAGGCAGAGTAATCAATAAACAGAGTGATTTGATTACAAAAATATACTTTCAATTGTGTGTCTGTTTTATAATAAAAGCGCAAAGTCTGCACCTTCCTCAGCTGTGTTAAGCTGCATAATAATGCATGCAAAGCAAATTCATATATGTCTGTTGCCTTTGCCTTAAAATAAGTGAAAGGCAGATAAAAATGAGTTATTTAGCACAAAAAGATTTACATGCATGTGTGAAATTCAAGCAGAACTCATTTCTAAATGGTTTGTCACAAATTGTAGCCTTTAATTCAATGCAACAATTTACTTAAAAAAATGATTCCCGTTTCATGAATGAAGAACAGCGATGCAGCATAATGAATATAACTTGAGTTTGAGTATAAAAAAAAGTGACTTTTGGAAAGTTACAAAGCCTGCATTTTTCACAGATTAGAGTTACGCTACTGATTTGATATTACAACACCAAGGAAAACGGGTAGAAACTTATAAAAAGTCCTTTAAAGATATGGAAGGTTTGTAGTTGAGGTCAGAACAGTGGCTTATGGTTCTGGTTCGATTGTGTTTGGCAAGAAAAACGCTCGAGGAGGAAGATCTGGTCTCCTCATCACCAGAAGAACGGCTCAGTCCAGGACAGGAGAGCTTGACATGGGAATCAAGCGTTTGTGCGGCTCAAAGCAGCGTGCATCTCTCTTTCAAGCTCTTCTTCTTCTTGCCGCTCTTCTTCCCGTTCTTCTCCTTGTTCTCGGACATCTTCTTCGCCCGCACCTCCCTCATCAGATCAAAGAAGACCTGCGAACAACCAAACACACGTCACAGGTGCTCAATGGAGTTAATATGGCATCTGAGGCTCATATGCATGATCATGCATTCTGAAATATCAGGATATTGAATGCACAAACCTTATCGACGTTCGCTCTGGTTTTGGCTGATGTTTCCACATACTGGACAGACCACTCGTCCGCTTTGGTCCGGGCCTCGTCCGCAGACACCTGCCTCCTGTCCTCCAAATCAGACTTATTCCCCACCAATAACAGAGGGATTTTATCATCCTCCGCTTTCACTCTCAGGATCTGCTCCCTGTGTGGACCGGTAACAATACAGTTAAAAATACAGTAAAATTGTGACATATTATTATCATTTAAAATAAGTGTTTTATATGAGAATATCTGTTAAAATATAATTTATTTCTGTGATCAAAGCTGCATTTTCTGCATCATTACTGCAGTCTTCAGTGTCACATGAGCTTCAGAAATCAGTATAATATGCTGATTTGCTGCTCAAGAAACATTTCTGATTATTATCAATGTTGAAAACAGTTGAGCTGCACAATATTTTTGTGGAAACCGTGATATACTACAATTCAAAAGTTTGGGGTATGACAAAAAGTAAAAAAAATAAAAAATAAAATACTTTCTTATTCAACAAGGACACATTACACGGATGTGACAGTAAATATATTTATGATGGCATGTGGCGTTTACTCTTCCAGGTTATTATTTAGTGGTTTGTAAAGTGTACTTCTGTAAGTCTACTGTGAATTAAATTTTGACCCTGAACAGCAACCTAAACATCTTTTCAGACTTAATGGAAAGACCTTAATTCATTTATTCTAATACTTTAAGGCAATATATTATGATAAGGTGTTATGTGAGATGTTTACATGTACCTTTAGCATTCATTCTTTAAAGTTGTCATGAAACAGAAATTCACCCTATTTTCTAAATGCATGTTATTGATCTTATTGATCTAATTTTTTTTTTAATTTTGAGCCCGTAATTCTAATCAAAATATCATAACTTGATCTTCCGCCTCTTTCGTTCACAATCCGATCAGCCTCCATCCAATCAACAACCAATGGATTGAATCATGTCCTGTTTTTTTTCCCCTCGTTAATCAGTTTAACTTGAATACATGTCACAATATGGAAAAAAGATGTTTCTATTTTCAGTAAATTGTGACTTTAAGAAACAGTAGATGGCTTATGTTAAAATTCACTCAAAAAATCAAAATCTGTCATTTACTCATCTTCATGTTGTGTGATAACTTTCTTTCTCCTGCAAAACAAAAGAAAATTATGTAAAAATCATTCTTTTGAGTCTGGTCTCAGCTCACAAAACCTCTATTTTCCATCTGAGCATTTCCAAGCTCACTGTGGCTTAAATGGGACATAACTGTTTCTGGCAATGTCATGTTAATCTTGTAGGGCTGAACGATTAATCGAATGCGATTGTCATGAGCATTTTGATAGTAATGTTGGTTCTGTAATCAGCAGGAAATCATCATCACATGCTTTCAGATGGAGCAGAATTTACTACACATAGCCGTAGTTCACTGACAAGTTACACAAAAAAAATCGCAGACGATTTTATTGAGCGATTCTGAAATCGAAGAAATCGTTGGCGATAATGACAGCTGTTTGCATAGCTTCTCAGTGAACTACGGCTCTGTGAAGTAAATGCTGCTCCATCTGAAAGCACGTGAAAATACCACATTTAATAACATGTTTTTACTCCAAACTCACTTCATAACGTCAATAATAGTGTTTGAAATAAATCCTTCTGTGAGATGAGCCAGTGGCATTTGAAACTTGTGCATGTTTGGGTCAGGACACATATGCATAATGTATGTATGCATATATATATATATATAGCCTATAATTTGACAATATGTATAAAAACATTGAAACATTACATTGATCCTTACTCATCAATAAATGTTATTTTTATTTATATAGAAAATGTTTGCATTACATGCTCTTTGTGTAATATTTTAACTGAAATACATTTGCCTTGTGAGACATAGGTTTCAATTAATCTTCAGAAATATTTGTTTTTCGATTCTGAACATGTTATGCTAATGTGCTATCTACCTATCTATCTCTCTCTCTCCTTACATACATCTAAAAATATGTTTGGTGCAAAGAGAACTATGAAAAAATGTTGTGAAAATGTTTTATATTTTTCATTTATTTTTAAAAACACAAAAAGTTTGCATAGAATAACTCTGGAATTCCTACATTATTATCATTGTTATTTAGATTTATTTATTTGGAGCCTATCGTCCAGCTTGCTTGCATCTTGAATGTCACAGCATCCTCAGGCTTGTGCATGTGTAAGTGACGCCCATCACAAGCGTCTTTACAGTGGGGTGTTAAATGCTGAATAGACGGTTTCTCACATTCAAAGTCAAGGTGACTGATTTCCTCCGGACACATTTTACTGCTCTCATAAACTCTTATGGCCCTGCTGCCGTCCTTTGTCAAAACTCCGGAGGTCATCAAACTCCGAAACAAGAGTGTAATGCAAAATTCCAGCGTTTTCTCGTTGACACTTTTTAGCACTGAAACACAAAACGCAACAGGAATGGAATCAGAGTTCGGAACAAATTCAGAGGAGGTTTATTTGGTCTATAATCACCAGGCAGAGAAATCAATAAAGTGGTTGGATTACAAAAATATCATAATTTCAATTGTGTGTCCATTTTATAATAAAAGTGACACATTTGGTGAGCTTTGGTGAGTCCATTCACCTTCCTCAGCTGTGTTAAGCTGCATTATAATGCATTCAAAACACACAAAATATTGCATATGTCTGTTGCCCATTCTTTGGGGAAAGGCCGATAAAATAAGAGTATTTAGCAAAAAAGATTTACATGTATGTGTGACATAGTGAAAAAAGAAATTCATGAAACAGAAGCAGAATTCATTTCTAAATAGTTTGCTGCAAATTGTCAGATTTAATTCTATGCAACAATTTACTTAAAAATTGATTCTATTCCTGTTTCATGAATGTGCATTCATTCCCAGTGATGCAGCATAATGATTATTCCTTCTGTTTGAAAGTAAAAAAATACTTTTGGAAAGTTACAAAGCACACACATTTCACAGATTAGAGTTTCGCTACCGATTTGATATTACGGCAACGGTAGAAACCTATAAAAAGTCCTTTAAAGATGTGGACGCCTTGTAGTTGAGGTCGGCACAGTGGCTTAAGGTTCTGGTTTGATTGTATTTGGCAAGAAAAACTCTGGAGGAGGAAGATCATGTCTCCTCATCACCAGAAGAACGGCTCAGTCCAGGACAGGAAAGCTTGAATCAAGCATTTGTGCGGCTCAAAGCAGCGTGCATCTCTCTTTCAAGCTCTTCTTCTTCTTGCCGCTCTTCTTCCCGTTCTTCTCCTTGTTCTCGGACATCTTCTTCGCCCGCACCTCCCTCATCAGATCAAAGAAGACCTGCGAACAACCAAACACACGTCACAGGTGCTCAATGGAGTTAATATGGCATCTGAGGCTCATATGCATGATCATGCATTCTGAAATATCAGGATATTGAATGCACAAACCTTATCGACGTTCGCTCTGGTTTTGGCTGATGTTTCCACATACTGGACAGACCACTCGTCCGCTTTGGTCCGAGCCTCGTCCGCAGACACCTGCCTCCTGTCCTCCAAATCAGACTTATTCCCCACCAATAACAGAGGGATTTTATCATCCTCCGCTTTCACTCTCAGGATCTGCTCCCTGTGTGGACCGGTAACAATACAGTTAAAAATACAGTAAAATTGTGACATATTATTATCATTTAAAATAAGTGTTTTATATGAGAATATCTGTTAAAATATAATTTATTTCTGTGATCAAAGCTGCATTTTCTGCATCATTACTGCAGTCTTCAGTGTCACATGAGCTTCAGAAATCAGTATAATATGCTGATTTGCTGCTCAAGAAACATTTCTGATTATTATCAATGTTGAAAACAGTTGAGCTGCACAATATTTTTGTGGAAACCGTGATATACTACAATTCAAAAGTTTGGGGTATGACAAAAAGTAAAAAAAATTAAAAATAAAATACTTTCTTATTCAACAAGGACACATTGCACGGATGTGACAGTAAATATATTTATAAATGTTTCTATTTTAAATAAATGTTGTTTTGAACTTTCTGTATCTAAATTATCATAAAAAAAAAAAAAGGATTTCCACAAAAATATTGACAAAACTGTTTTCAGCATTGATAATATTAAGAAACATTACTAATTGATTGAGCACCAAATAATAATTTAAATGTATGTTTTACTCACAAATAGCAAATTCTAACCAATAATCATTTTATATAAATAGCTTGAAAAATGTATATTCATTAAAAAAAAAAAAATATATGAATTTGTAAGATTTTATTAAAATTTCCATGACTTTTCCAGATCTACAAATCAGACTTTTAAAATTCCCTCACATATCCAGCAAGATATTTATTAAAAAAAAAAAAAAAAGGATTTCCACAAAAATATTGACAAAACTGTTTTCAGCATTGATAATATTAAGAAACATTACTAATTGATTGAGCACCAAATAATAATTTAAATGTATGTTTTACTCACAAATAGCAAATTCTAACCAATAATCATTTTATATAAATAGCTTGAAAAATGTATATTCATTAAAAAAAAAAAAATATATGAATTTGTAAGATTTTATTAAAATTTCCATGACTTTTCCAGATCTACAAATCAGACTTTTAAAATTCCCTCACATATCCAGCAAGATATTTATGGTACATCTGCCGTAATGACAAAGCTGTTCATTTTCAACTTTATTTTATTTTCAGAAACTACGAGTGGCAATATATTAAAATAACGATATTTCAAAAAAATTCAAGAGTTTACGCTTTTTTTTTTACCAATGAATTTACATGACTTTATATACATTTACGCACAAATAGCTATTTCTAGCCAATAAAATACTTTAATGCTTGACAATTCGAAAAATGTTTTGTTATGATAGGACAATATTTGGCCGAGATGCAACTATTTGAAAATCTGGAATCTGAGGGTGCAAAAAAATCTAAATATTGAGAAAATCATCTTTAAAGTTGTCCAAATGAAGTTCTTAGCAATGCATATTACTAATCAAACATTAAGTTTTGATATATTTACGGTAGGAAATGTACAAAATATCTTCATGGAACATGATCTTTACTTAATATCCTAATGATTTTAGGTATAAAAGAAAAATGTATAATTGTGACCCATACAATGTATTGTTGGCTATTGCTACAAATATACCCCAGCGACTCAACACTGCTTTTGTGCTGCAGGCTCACATTTCTTTCTTTCTTTCTTTCTTTCACATGAATATTTATTTTGGATTACCATCACTGTAAACTTACATTGAACCTGAAATTTTCCCTTGCGGTCAACAGTGTTACAAAAACAAATTAGTCCACCTTCTGTGAGCACAGTGTTGGAAGTGTGAAAAATCACATGCGACTAAGAGAACTTCAAAAGCCTCTAATTTGTGTTTTTACCTGCTGGAAGCTACATTTGTGGTAATTACTGACCAGCCTCCATGTGCCCTTTTAAAGAGTGCTACAGATGACACAATTAGTATGGTGTGAAGATTGCCTGGCTGCTCCTGGACACAAGTACACGCACACACACACACACACATAAACATGTAGCCTACAGACACAGAGACAAAAAAGGCCTGCAGTTTTGCTGGCACACCTTGACAGTGAATGATTACTATGCTCTGTGTTTTGTGAATGACGACGTACAACTCCTGCAAGCCAAATGCGTTCCCCTCCAAGATAACGTCCTTGAGCTCCTCCACAAAGTGATGTGAAGAAACGAATGATAAAAACTTTGCAGTAACAAGCTGTTCAGATAGTACCCTTTTCTGACATACGATTTGAAAAGCAGACAGTGGGATACTGGGCACTTTGCTAGCCAAGCCTCTTAAAGTCTTCTGCTTAGACAGTGTAATTATTACAATCACCTCACCTCTTTTTGAGAGCAGACACCTGCATGCCGTGAACCACTTCACGAAGCAACTTGGGATGTTACTTTAAGAGAGAGAGTGCTCTTATCTCTGATCTGTCAATGCTTTAGTGAGTACACCCAGCATGCATTGCTCCAAAAACAGCACAAAGTGCAGGTGAATTTTTAAAAATATGTAGGTAATTCAGGTGTGCATTCACCTATCGTGTTATTTGCTTTGAAAACAATAATAAAGTGTAGAGATCTGTTCCTTTTCACATACTTTACCAATATAATGCCATTTTTGTAGAACAAGGAGTTTGAGTAATGTGTTCACACTGAACAATGTAATAAAACAGTCTATCCAGAAAAAGCACTTGTTCAGTTGACAGAGTTGGCACTTTAAGCACTCATGCGCTTCATATAACAGTACGGGA